TGGAACCCCAGCGGGTGGGCAGAGGCACGGGGGTCCTGGGCAGTGCTGATGATACAGCAGAAATTTGATGAAGTGTATTCTCCTGTCTGAATTGTCTCGTTTAGCACTACTGGGTCAGCATTAGCACGTGAAGTATCCAAAGCCTTAGGCTGCAAGAGCTGACCAAACATAAACTCTTGATAAAATGATGCTGCAAACAAAGAATTCTTGGAATTCAGCAGATATGAGCAGAATGGAGATGATAAGGACCAAGGAGACAATCCCAGGAGAATAACATAAGAAGGCAGCAAGTGAAACCAGTGCAACCCAACAAGAAATCATGATGGTGCCAACCACAATTTAGTGATTGACTTGGATCGAGTGATAGGTGGCAAGGGTGAGAATGGGGTAGGGGTTCCTCTCTAGAGGCACCAGCTTGAGCTTTAACCAAAGAACTAACAAAAGACCAATCGGAAACCCTCACTCGGACTCGGCATTCCTAGCAGGGTCCCAGGGTCAGACCTTGATACACTGTCTGGTGTGTGTAAATCCATGACACCGGTTCCCAGGATACTTCCTCTGGCCCCAGGGGCACCCCAGGGGTGTCTCACAGAGGCACCTGCCTTACATGTCCCCCCAGATAGCCCCTCCATTACTGTAATGCTTCTCCTTCACACTGTGCTCAGGAAGGCCCAGGTTACTGCCCCAWGGGGCAGTGTTCCCAATGGCTGGTGCGTCTCTGTGTTGTTAGGGACACCCAGCCTGAGACACTGTTTGGGTCCTTGCCATTCAATGTTTCATCCCAGGGGCAATTTGGCCTTCCTCTCTTGCCATGATTCACTCTGTAGSACAGCCCATGCCTGGTGTTGTTGGCAGCTGCAGCCACCAGTAGTCCAATTTCATTAAAAATCAGACAAATTCTTCTGCCACAAAAGCTCCCGGGCCTCTTTCTCTCCAGATATTTCTTACCCATGACTTCTCTGACACYTGTGGCTGAATGGTCACCAGGTGGTTTTGCAGTTGGTCAGGCAGCTAAAAGCCACACCAGCCCCTTGAACCATTTTTCTTTGTCTTCCCTAAGCTTTAGCCCTGCTCTGACTTGCCCTGAGCTGGTYGTCAGCCCTTGAGGGCCTTTGCCATTTTCCAACCACTTGGACCAGTTTTTCTGGGATGTGTGGGGAGTTGGCATAATCTCAAAGCCCAAACAACTGGTGGTGAAAGCATAATTGTCCCCTTGTTCGCTTTCTTATGCTGCTTGGTTTTGTCGCTGGTTGTTGGTGGCTTTTGTGGGCTCAGGAAGGCATAGAGCTTGAACCACACAGCCATGGGATCCCAGAGAAAACACTTGGGTGSCATCTGGGGAAAACAAGGAGGGAAATAAGATGCTGTTTTGGGGAATGAAGGTACTGATGTTGCAAAGCAAAACTCCCATTTAGGGCCACCGCAGTCATGCTGGACACACTGCTGAGTTCTGACCACAATAAAACCAGGGTGACAACGTTAGAGACTTTACTTGAGAGTCTCAGGGGCCGGGAAATTCATTTGGGTAGGGACTGAGTTTCCTYTCTCTCAGCCTTGTTTGGTGCTGCCATCAAATAAAGGGAAACCCAAGTGGCAGCAAGTACACCCTTGAAGCTGTAGATGGGTGTACTGTACATGCTGGCCAGGAGCTGCGGCTGCACCGCCGGGACGAGGGGGGCCGGGAAGGAGCTGTGGTGCCACTGGAAGGGAATTCGGGTGCTCGGGTGGGCTTGAACCGTGCAGCGGACCYGGGACAGGGCAACCGCGCCAAGTGCACGGCCATTCTGCTGAAATAGCAACTCATCTGCTGAGGCTGAGGGACCTGAACAGACCCAAACCCTAAAACCCAGCCCAGCCTCGGGGCTGCACGGCTCCGCTCCGCCCAGGCCCGTGTTACCGGAGGGGATGCAGGACACCGGGACAGGTCCCCCCGGGCCTTCCCGAGGACTCGGCGCGAGAAACCGTTCACCGGGTCTGGAAGCGGGCACGGGCCGGGGGGTCGCGGGGGTAGCCGGAGGGGCTGAAGTCCCGCTGGGCCCATACTCGGTCCCGCTGTGCCGGGGCCTGGACCCACCGGTCAGGGCCCCCCGCTCGCCCGGCCCCGCTCGCCGCCGCCCCGAACCTCCGCCCGCCCGAGCCGCAGCCGGGCTGCACCATCGCGGGCTGCCGCGGGGGG